TCACCACCGCTAAGCTAAAGGAGGCTAATGTTGGGCTATAAAGGAATTACAGCACGGTCACATGACTTCACGTCACCACCGCTAAGCTAAAGGTGGCTAATTTTGGGCTATAAAGGAACTACAGCACGGTCACATGACTTCACGTCACCACCGCTAAGCTAAAGGAGGCTAATGTTGGGCTATAAAGGAATTACAGCACGGTCACATGACTTCACGTCACCACCGCTAAGCTAAAGGTGGATAATGTCGGGCTATAAAGGAACTACAGCACGGTCACATGACTTCACGTCACCACCGCTAAGCTAAAGGTGGCTAATGTTGGGCTACATTATCAAATATGTGACTCCTTCTTAGACTTAATTAAATACACTTTATTGATCCCAAATTGGGAATTTTTGTTCAGAGCATGTAAAGAAAGACATTACACATGAATTAAAATTACAAAGAAACCAACTAAATATATATATATTAACAAGAGAGAGATAGAAGTCTTTCGAAAAATATTTCTGTCTACGACACAGTTTGTAGCTTTCAGCCTCTTATCTGTGTTATTAGCTATAGTTATAAAGTGTGTGTGTGTGTGTGTGTGTGTGTGTGTGTGTGTGTGTGTGTGTGTGTGTGTGTGTGTGTGTGTGTGTGTGTGTGTGTGTGTGTGTGTGTGTGTGTGTGTGTGTGTGTGTGTCCGTGTGATCTACAGGTCAGCACTGATTGGCTGAATGAGAGGCTCTGATTGGGCCTGTCGCTAACGAACCGCTCATTTAAAAGGCCTGTGTGGTCCGGGGTGTATTCAGAGTGAAGGGCAACATGTGTGATAGTGTGTGATCTTTAAATGTCTTCACACACACACACACACACACACTGATTGAATGTGTTGCATTGTGTGCTTCTGTCTTTGATGAATAGGGATTAGCATGAAGCAGCGGCGGCGCTGGAGGATTACACGAGTGTTGCTGCTCTCTAATTTGATTTTTAAAGAGTCGTACCTTTGTTGTTATTGTTGTTATTGTTGTTTGTTGTGTGTGCGGTGAGGAGGCGCTGCGAGCTGCAGATACGCTCAGAGAGAATACAGTCTGAGACAAAGCCGATTAGCAGCTGAAACACGGCCAACAATCATTTTCTTCTCAAACACAGAATCTGCATTTCAGAGCGTTCCTCCTGCCAGGAAACACATGTCCGCGTTTCCTTTTAAACATCACGCCAGATGTGTGAATTTAAAGGATTGTATTTTCTACCGTGAGCCGCAGCTGTAACGTGTTTAATGTTACAATCATGTTAAAGTGTTTAGTTTTAGTTATTGAATTTGCTGTGCTGTGGTCATCTACTGCCCTCTGCTGGAGGAGGATGCATCAAGCAGGAACACAATGGACATTGAGGTTTGTGACAGCTGCTCTATCTTAGATTAGAATACAATACATATAGAATATAAATATGTGTATAAACATAAGAAGCTAAAGTAAGATTGTGCAGTAAAACAAATACATATATATATATTTATAATTAAATAAAAAGTAATAAAAACGATTGTATTTGTTATTATCTTCACACGTGCCTTCAACAACGTCGGTTACATTTAAACCATTGACTAAACCTTTCAAACACACTTCTGATTGAGCCCTCAGTGGTTCAAAGTGAACCTGCAGGTGAGCTGCATCCTCCCTCCATTAACACAGATAACAAAATGATTAAAAACAATTCTGAGAATTAGGTCAACATTCTGAAAAAAGTCAAAAATTCTGGAAAAAAACTCCAAAAAAAAGGTCAGAATTCAGAAAAAAAGATTCTGAAAAAGAAATACAACATTTGTAGAAAAAGGCAAAATTCTTTGGAGGATTGTGTTGGCAAGTTAAACAAAATTAAACCCTTTGTATTGTTCTCATGCAGCTGCCTGTAAGGAGTTGAACACCACACAAAGCATAACAAGGCTATATATGGTCACATAAATACAACCTGTCCCCGCCCAGAGAAAACATCTGTCATTTGCTTTGTATTGACTTTGTTTGGCCATACTTTGCTCTAATCTAAATGTCTTTACAAGCAGTTTAAGTAAACAAACAAAAGGTACATATCTTTTCGCTTATGACCCTAAAGCATTAAAGCAAGGATAAAAACACAGGTAAACAATAAACAAAACCTTAAGTTTTCATTAATAAATATATATAATAATAATACAAAATCATCACAAATAATAATAATGCAACATATGTTTAAATGACATTATAATTGAATAAACCTCTTCAATAATCCCTCTCTGTGGTTTCTCCTGTAATACCTCTCACCGCCACCGGGGGGAGACAGAGCGCAGCTTTAACGAGGCGTTAATTGCATTTAAATTAGTATTTTCTAAAACTACATTGCACATTTAATATGTAAAGTAACCTGTGTTGAAATGTTTCTAGTAGTAGATTAGTATATTAGGAGTGTATTTAAACTAATTGTGTAAATATATTGTGTGTAGATACTCTATATGTCAGTGCTGAGATCTTTATATTGATTTTCTTTATTAGCTGTTTTTAGAGACAGTATGAGTAAATGTATTTATTTATGTACGTATGTACTACATCGCATCTCTTCTTGTAGGTATTTGTGTGAAATCAGTACACTGTTGGAGATGTTGCCCCTTAGTTCAGATTAAAGTCTGAGAAAACACACAATTCGGAGTGAAAAGAGTTTAAGAAAATAAGAACATTTTGAACATTTTGAGAAAAGAATAATAAAAATTCGGAGAAAAATTCGGAGATAATAAATAATAATTTTTGTTTTCAGGATTTTCCTCAGGATTTTGACCTAAATCCCAGAACACAAAAATTTAACTTTTTCTGTTCGGTTCTCAGGGTGTTTCTCGATGTCGAGGACACTTCCTCGGTAGGACATGTCTTCCGAGTCAGGTCCATCAGAGGCTAGGCAAGAATCCTTCCTGGCATTCGGAGAAAGAAGAATGGAACAGGCTAGCAAGTGTGCAGGTGTGCGTCATATGAGAGGCCCGCCTTACATTTTCCACCAAAGATTTGGAGAAATGGGTCCGTGTGCAAAGCATTGTGGGGATTTTAAGACCGCGGAGGATACACTGGTGCATCCTGGAAATTTCCCGCAACGAAGGATTCAGTCCTCGGTAGAATTCCAAGCATCCTGGACATTGGAACAGTCCTTCGGAGGGATTCGATGACGTAGCATCCTTGGAATAGTGGCTCTGGAGGATCCTTCCTCGACATTGAGAAGCACCTTCAAACATTTTTTCACAGGGTTTAGCCTATCACGTAAAATCAATCAATCAATCAATGTTTATTTATATAGCCCAATATCACAAATGTTACATTTGTCTCAGTGGACTTTACAGTTTGTACAAAATATCAGTATGACAATACGACACCCTCTGTCCTTAGACCCTCTGTCCTCAGACCCTCTGTCCTTAGACCCTCTGTTCTTAGACCCTCACATCGTACAAGGAAAAACTTCCAAAGAAAACCCACAGTTTAAAGGGAAAAATGGGAGAAACCTCAGGGAGAGCAACAGAGGAGGGATCCCTCTCCCAGGACGGACAGACGTGCAATAGATGCCGTGTGTAAATTGAAAAGATAATACATTTGCAACATAGGTAATGTGTTGGAGCTCTAGCCAATCGGAGCGCGAGTGTTCTATAGTGATGTCACTATGTTCCGGAAGTAAACAAAGGAGTTCGATAAAACATAAACAACACACAGCAGGAGAGGGAAACCCCAAAAGCAGAACAGGGATTGTTTAAATTCCCCTTCGCCCGAGAGACCCGGGGCCCTCCTGCAACATCTTGCAGGAAACAGTGTCTGAGGGCATGGTCATTTAATAAACTATGAATGTGTTATATCCATGTAACGGGAAGAAACTCATCGAACTGATCATTTTAAATGTATTTAAAAAAAAACAACCACAATGCTAACGCTGAGTCTCTGAATTAGCAACGAGCGAAAAATGCTAACAGATGACTGCACCGAAATTCACTCACAAAACCTTATTATTTATCTTTGCTGCACATCCAACTCATCGTTTCACATCGTGAGGAGACACAGAATCGATGGGTACCCCTCATTATCACTCAATGATACGAACTCTCTGAGATAATAACAAGAACACACGTCAAAATATATGGAGCTAGTTAGCTAAAAACGCTAACATGGCTCACCTGTGTGGTAGTCTGGTGTTCAATGGCATTAAAACGATGAAAACGCTGCTGAAGTTAATCCATAGGTTAATCCAATGTGTCTGTGCCCCTTTGAATGATTTCTGATAATCCATGAGAAATAAACCTGCTTTTCGGTTTCCAGATGTCAGAGCTAGAGATGTCACTCTGGAAAAAAAGCTGTACGAGAAGCCCGCACCTTTTTGTTTTACCATGTGTGTGAGTGGGGAGATTTCCCTTCGATTCTATTGGCTCTAACGGTCAGAAAGAGATGTCAATCAACACAATCGACCAATGGGTTCCAGAGAAACGGTAAAACCCCCATTTCCACCCAAATCACTCCAGAGGTGGAGTTTGTTTTTCTAAACCTCTCTAAAAAGGTCAAATGTCACTTGTTTTGCATCAATCTTGATACAAGGTACTTATTATATGTTGTACTTTTGGATTCCTTACCATCATCCAAGGGTAGTTTTCACTATAAGTAAAAAAGACGGACACTATAATTTACAGTTTTTTACTATGTTCAATCTGAATTTTCTTTAAAATAAAAAACATCTATATTGATTCTGACTTTTCTACATCCAACTCACAGGTTTATCATTGCTTTGAGGAAAAAGATTATTAATGTAACCCTTTTAGAAGATATGGTCATTTGTTCTGGGAATGTCGTTTTCGAGCCTGAGACCTGAAAAACAGGCTCAGGGCTAAACTGGTTAAAATTATTATTATTCCCAATATTTATACAATTCCTATAACTAATGTCTGTCAAGATCATTGTGATCATTTATGAAGTACATGTATTTCATTTTCACATTTTTGCCATTAAATAAACTCCACAAAGACAAACGTGGACAAATATGTATTTTATTGCCGTTGTGCATGAACGATGACACTGCAGGTGCACAGGAAGGGATGTCACTCTCACCTCTTGACTCATGACTTTACCAACAAAATGCATCTTCCATATTTAAAAACTTTAGGAATGCAAGATGCTTCCTGTTATTGCACACATTGAGAGGGACCAGTGGCGAGTATACTGGGAACATTGGGGAAGCCAAAGCTCTTTAAGGTGCAGACAGGTCTCCCTAAACCACGACGTAGCATTTAGCCTCTTCTGAAGCTACGTAGGCTATATACAAACAAACATGAGAGGGATCGATGCAGGGAGGCCGAGAGACACAATACAACCACTATACATGACCTGTTCGCAGCACACACACACACACACACACACACACACACACACACACACACACACACACACACACACACACACACACACACACACACACACACACACACACACACACACACACACACACACACACACACTTTTATCTGTGCATCACACACCTCTCTAGCTGACAGCGAATCAAAAGGCTGAGAGATATTTGAGGAATGTAGCGGCTCTTTGTGAATGCTTTAATGTGCCGGACGTGAGAGCTGCAGACTGGAGGGAGAAGCTGTGCAAACACTCATCTCTGTGGCTACGGTTAGCATTTAGCTCGTGCTAACTGTGGCTACATGCTAATCCTGCTAAAACTGTGCAGAAAAGCAGACGCAGATTTGACTGATTATCTGATGCATCGGTCGGAATATAAGCATTTATTTTCACATTCAATCTGAGATGATATCTTTACGTCCGCTGGGAATCCAACCTCAACACGGCTACTGACAGAAATGTGTGTTTAGCAATAATAATGCTATATATTCAAAAGGTGATAAATGCTATTTACATATCTTTAAAAAACTCTAAAAAGAACCAGTCGTCTGTCCCCCTCGCTGTCAGATATTTAAGTCAGAAAAATGACCAGAATCCTGTCTTCATGAAGGCCTGACGGTTTATCCCTCTCAGACAGTATTATAGCTGTAGCTGCGGAAACAACTTTAATCATAAGTCATACCGTTTAGTTTTTAGACACAGGTGAAAAAGGCCTTAAGCATGATCACGTCTGTGACTTTCAAATCCAATTCGACTTAAAAGATCAATAAAAACAAGGTGTTTTTCGCTTAAAATCTGCCACTAAAACGAGTCTTCAAATAAGATGTGATATTTAGATAAATCAGGTCTTAAGAGCTGGGAAATCTTATTGTGAACTATATTGATGTTATTTATGTTACAAATTAAGCCACAAACGCTCAAAAGTTTTCTGTTTAGTGATTTTAGAATAAAAGTGTGTTTTCTAAAATCAAGTAAAATGTATTTCTTGAGAAAAGATTATCCTTCTTTTAGAAATACTCAACATAAGATGTTTTAAGAGTCTTGAGGATACTTAAGATGCAGCCTTTATCTCGCTGCATTGTCACCTCTTAAGTTAGTGTAACAGTCTCACAGAAGAACGTGTAATAGCTTCGTTGGTCCGCAAGGCAAGACGTAGTATATCCACAAATAACCTCTCAAGACGTGACATGGATTCAATATTTTGTAAAAAAAACATGGAGCTCAAATCATCTTGGTAATATCTATCAAACTATGGATCCTACAAATCCAGTGGACGTAGATTCTGAAAGTACAATGTAAGCTTCTCGCTAGAAATGTAATCAAAAAGCATTTTAATCAAACTCTCCTTCAATTTAGGATTGTCCACTAAAAATAAATCGGGTGCCCGCCATGTTCTCTCACGCTGGGAAAGTTTGGACACCGGTCATTAGAGATGAATAGGAACACATGTTGAATCCATGTCACGTCTGTTAGGGATTAATTTTGTCTTTACTCCTAGACATTTAACCTTATTCTGTGTGTTGACATTTATTACGACAATCCCTGCTTCTAATCTCCCGTAAGGAATGTGTTGATGCAGTCGTATGTTGATACTAGGGTTTACAGCTTGACCTACAGGGCATAGGGAGGGTTTGCGACTGTGAGAACGCTAGCTTCTAAGCTCCAGAGATGGGAGAGACATCTCCTGTGTCTGCAGATGTGTTTACGACATGGTTTACGCCCATCCCTAATATGTGGATTTGACTCTCTGTAAACTAGTTAAAAGGTCTACCAAGATGCGAGGCTGATGAGATTTGACATGGCAACCCACCCGTGCAGTCAGAACCTTTGACTGTGTGACTTGTGATGTGAATTTCTCCGGCCGATGCTTGTATTAAATCTCAGTGTTTGGCATCAGAACTCCTGCTCGTCCCGTGTCTCCTTCATGAGTCGGTGACTCCCACTGCATTGCTACACAGAAGTTTCCTCCACAACGTCCTGAGAGGGTTATTTGTGAATATACCACGTTTTGCCCAGTGGACAAACGTAGCTATTACACGTTTTTCTGTGAGACTGGGTTTGAAATTCTGACTAGGAATTAGACAAATACACCGTGTTGTCTTCCCCTCAACGTGAACCTGTTGACTTTGTTTATAACATATCGTTTGAATAGTTTTCTGCTCATTAAAGCGTCTCCTCTGGCTGATCCATCTGAGCTTTGCACAGCTTTTCCTCTGCGGGGAAACAGGAAGGATTATCAATGTGAGAGCGAGAGGAAGAGGAACGATGACGATTGGATGTGTTCTGCATGGTGGAGCTGCAGATATCTGATTGGACATTGATTCCAGATTACCTGAGTACGCTCTGATTGTAGAATACCTGAAGCGAGCCTCTGCACACATCCCTTTCTTTAGACAGTCAGTGGCCAGGATGGTGAACACAGACATGTCGAGTACAGGTCGACAGTCTTTACAAGCAGCAGGATAATGACGTGCATGTGTTGGGCGATTTGCACAGTTAACATAAGTTGTGTTATGCAGACAACAGCTACAACATGGCACGGCAGATTAAGACATTTTGATTTTGGAGGTTATTGAAGCCGTTTCTGACGTTTTCAGGATCCAGAGTCCCCTAAATCTTCCAAATCGACTCAAAATGCATCAGAATCGGCCAACAAAGAGTACAAATATGGCCTTTCTGGTTAAAACTGTCATTTTGGATCCTGAAATAGAACGACATGTCTGTATATCTGTCCTCTCTGCGGGCTGATTCTGACTTATCATCTCAACTGTGGACTTTCTTTTTCAATTAAATAAGCAATCTGTCCAAATAATCCCTTCAATCTTCACCCACAATTCATCAACATCAGTCCTCCAGGAGCACAAATCCTGGCATTTTCTAGTTCAAACTGTCATTTTGGATCCTTAAATAGTAAGAAATGGGTTCAGCATCCTCAATGACCCCCAGAAACACTCCAACACTGTCCAAATCAGCCACGACATTTTGGCTAAAATGCAATTTAATGCTAATTAATAAGCAATCTGTGCAATCCAAATGATCCAGAGTCCCAAAAATCTTCCAAATATACCCAAAACTCATCAAAGTCAGTCCAGAGAGAGTACAGATACGTCTCTCTGGCTCAAACTGTCTTTTTTTATCCTGAAAATGTCAGAAATGAGACTCAATAACCCCAAAAACACTCAAAAACTGTCCAAATCAGCCGAGACATTCTCTCTATGATGCAATTTAACGGTATTTAACGATTTAACGCTGATTACCCAACACATGCAGGTTGCTACCACTCCCCCTACTCTACATTTCTATCATACAACTTGGCAAACAGACCATAATATGACCTGGAAACAGAGTCCTGATATTCAGGGGGTTAAAAACAAGCATGACTTCCCATAGAGATATAATATGTGTATATATATTATATATATGTGTATATGTATAGAGAGCTTATTCATACTGTGAATGTGGAAACTGAACACAACACATAATTTAAATTAGAAATATACTACCAGTTTAAAATGCATGCCCCCCCCCCACTCCGTCCATCCCACTTTAACACAGTGGTTCCCAACCTTTCTTAGTATCGTTAAACCCCACTCACCTGTGAGGATTCACCTGCTGTCACTCGTGTGTTTAACGCTTTGTGATTGTGTTTTTTTTACATCGGAGTTCAGGATGATGTGGTCATTTGAATTAAATCTGTGTGTGAGGGTGATAGAGAGAGCAAGTGTGTGTGTGTGTGAAAGGGAGAGAGCGAGAAAGTGTGTGAACAGGAGAGAGAGTGTGAGAAAGAGAGAAAATTCACGTCTAAATGTTTTTGTGTGTAAATAAATCCCTAATCTTTCTACGTCCCCATAAAGAAACCCCCGGTTGGGAACCACTGCCTTTCTTCTTCTTCGATGGTGTCTCTTCTTCTTCGTTGGTGTCATGCAGAGATAGAGGGGGGGCGGACACTAGAGTCTCAGAGGCCTTTCTCAGCTGTCAGTGGGGGGGTCATCAGTCTCTGAGGGGGTTTCCTCCAGCTCTTCTGACACCTGATTGGCCCCCTGTAGCCCCGCCCCCTCCTCCTGGGGGGCTGGGGGGTGCAGCGGGAGGCGAACCGGACAGAAAGCAGAACCCGTGGAGATGAAGTTCACTTTGTTCTTATCGGGGCAGGAGAAGAGGGGGGTCGCTGCTGAGGGGGGGGGCCGGGAGGAGCTGGGGGGAAACAATGATAACAATATTAATAATAATATATTTATTTTTACTTTTCCTCGCGCTCAAAGACGCTTTACATCAAATCAGAATCAGAAACAGAACAAAGAAAACTAAACATACTGATAAATATGTTTACAAAATATGTTTTGATGTGTTTAACTCTGACGGTGCGTCCACACGGCAGCGTAACGTTGAAGCTTGCCGGTGGGCGTGTCTGAAGCGCGACCAACAACCAATCACATGAATCTCCCGCCCCAGACACACAAGCACGCGGTTTGGAATGATTTGATTGGCTGACGCTTCCGTTGAAGCTTCAAAAGTTGAACTTTTCTCAACGGAGGCAAAGCGACACGACGGAACCGGCAAAGCGTGACGTCACCCCATTCAAAGTGAATGGGCAGCGTCTCCGTTGAAGCACGCGACGCTGCCGTGTGGACGTACCGTGAGGCTTTAGAACATGTGTGTAATGTTTGCTGTGTTGTGTGTGTCTGAGATTTTCAGGAAAAATCTTTTTTAAAAATCTTAAAAATTCAGAGATTTTCAGGAAAAGAAGAAAAAAATCTATTTATGTATGAATGTGTCTGTTTACTGTGTATATATAGGTATATACATATTTGTATATCTGTATTCTGTATTCCTCTGGATTGTGGGAAACGGTATTTCAATCTATCTCTGTTCACACAAACTGAAAGATTTGACTTTTGATTTGGCTGCTGTGGTTCATAAAGGATCTGAAGTTTCCTCAGCGTTTACCTGCTCTCCTCGAAGGCCTTGATCTTTTCGCAGCCCTCCGGTGGTTCCCTCTTGAACATGTAGCTGTTGTTGGGTTTGGGAGAGGAGGCGAACTTCGGAAGAGGAGAACTGCTGCCTCCGTCTGAGGACACAGAGAGACAACGTTAACACAATATAGAGACACTCCTGGACCAGTTTGGACCAACACTCCCCGGTATCAGACCGTCTGAAGAGGAGAAACGTGATCAGGAAGAAGGGGAAGTTTTTAAATACGAGCTATAAGTCAGAAAAGAGTGGAGAGTTCTTAAAGAGCAACCTGGCTCTAACTGGTGGAAAAGCAACAGGTTCACAAGTGGAACCAACTTCTAAAACAACACAGAAATCTAACAGAAATCATTTGAGTGGAAAAGGTGACCCAGTGACCCGTTGACTTCCTCTCCCTGCTCCATACCTTTGGGATTAATAAAGTATCGATCTATCCATACTTTGCCTTCACCTGAAAAAGAAAAGAAAAGTTGACCCAGTGATCCGTTGACTTACCTTTGTCTCGGTCGTACAGCAGCTCCTCGGTGGAGTAGGGGCTGCCGTCATGTGACCCGTCATGTGACCCGTGGGGGAGTCCGGGGGTCTGAGGGTCCGTGCTGCTGCGCTGCTGGGGGGGGAAGGGGGCGCGCCGCCCGTCAGGGACCTCCAGGGACTGAGAGAGAGAGAGAGGAAGTTACTGTGTTAGAGGTCTCCTATCATGCAAAATGCACTTTGTGATGTCTTCTCTACATCACTATGTGTCCCCGGTGTGTCCCCGGTGTGTGTCCGGTGTGTGTCCGGTGTGTGTCCGGTGTTTCAGGAGACTCTCAAAGTGTCAGGAAATAAAACCCTCTCTCTTCTCCTCCGTACCCACATCTCTAAAAACGGGGAACAACGGAGCTGATCCAGATTTGCTGCGTCATGACGACATTACTAAAATGTGGGCGGGCTTTAAACCCACGGGCCAATCAGAAACGTTGCTGTCAGAAACAATGAGACGTGTTCTGGAAGTAATATGGTCTGTGTTTCCATTAGCATGCTAACACTCAGAGCTAACTTAGAGCGGGTGCTGCCGCCATGTGGTGAAAGCAGGAATTACATTTAAAACATGTATTCTGTTTGACAGTGGCCATAAATAATACGTTATAAGACCCAAGCTACGGGTCGGACTTTGGACATGCCTGTACTAAATAACATCAGCGCAAGAAGACTGACGCTGCAGGGAGCGTGGGTATTTCTTATGTATATTACATTATTTTAAAACAATTATCAGTCCATGGAGGTCAGAGAGTTCTCCTGATGAGCTCTCCTCTCTTTTTTATTAAAGCTACTGACCCATAATCATCACTTTAGTAACAGCTGAAAGAGAGGGGGTGAGGCTACAATGATCTGATTGGTATTTTGAGCAAAACACATCATAGACATGTTTTGTATATATCTGAGACCGATAATATGCCTAAAAATAGTATAATAGGAGACCTTTAATATACGAAGGACCCCCGCTCCCCGCAGTCAGTCCTGTTGCCCTGATGTTATTTAATATGTAATAATGAAGCAGAGCCCCACCTTGAGCTCCTCTTTGTCCCCGCTCTCCCGGATGAAGACCTTCTCCAGCTCGTGGTTGATCCCCTCCATGCTGCTGGGGACTCTGGAGATCGAGGGCTTCGGCACGGTGGAGAGCGGCATCTGGGCCATGGAGACCTGCTGCTGCAACACACACACACACACACACTTATTTGAACACAAATAACAGTGTCTAACCAGACGATGATGGAGACAGTTACGTCGAATAAAATAAACAACTTAAACTCATAACTTCTCTGCAGTGCAGCGGTTAAAAAAGACACAACCAAAATGAACTCAGAGTATCGTCAGCTGGACTCTTTTGTACCAGCTGAAGCACAGTGACAATTCATTGACATCAATTTACAACCTATTCCATTACGTAACCAATGTTCAATATTTTACGCATAATTAAACGATTAAATAATCAAATGGTAAATCAACATGTTGGCTCCTATAGTAACCATGACATACCAACCCCTTTGAGTAAGAGGTTGCAATGCCATCTTCTGTAAACCATAACTCATCATTTGCATGTGAATCAGATGGCATTTATAGCATAAAGCAGAAATACGTTTTTCTCTCCACCACGCCACATTGAGAGTGTTCAATGTAGACTAAAGCCTTTAATAAATGTTGCCCCTTAAAGTCTTCTAATGGTTGAGAAAAAATGTGGAGTTGATCGGGTGAAATCTGTAGGAGGAGTTTGTTAAAGTACGGCACGTGAAAAGTGTTAAAAATAGCCAAAACGTGCACAGAAAACCAAAATGCCCGACTTCCTGTTGGGTTTATGATATGACCCTGAGAGGCTTTTCTGTGCGTCTCCCCATTCTACATAGACCCGCCAAATGTCAGACCTGTAGGTGAAACCACAACAAGGGGCTGAACTTTAGCAACTCTATAGGGGGCGCTATAACGTTTTTTGCCAACGCCTCAAAAAGAGACCACTAAAATATAGAAGACTAACTGGCAATCTAATTATTGACCGTCTCCTAATTAACTTTCACTGTTTCTATTTTCAACATAGCTACAGATACACCTTTTACTTGTATACACACTTTAATGATTGCAATGCTATTCAAACATTTGTTCAACCGCACACAAACGGCATCCTCTAAATCGCTTTTCTACAAACAGATGAAACTCCTCTCCTCCCTCAGCTGTGTGTTTCAGTAAATGTTAACTCTTACCTGTGTGTGTCAGGCTGTGCAGGTGTGTGGGGTGTGCAGAGAGATGAAGGAGTTCCCAGACTAATACTGTACACTGGAGAACATGTCCCAACATGTTCACTCACACACTCCTCAGGAACACATGAATGCCCGCTCTGTCTCACACACACTCTCGTTACGTAATCTCTCTGAACCAGTTCCTGTTTCCCTCACACACTCATTCTGCAGCAGACACACACCTCTGACATCAACCAGTGTGTGTGTGTGTGTGTGTGTGTGTGTGTGTGTATGTGTGTGTGTGTGTGTGTGTGTGTGTGTGTGTGTGTGTGTGTGTGTGTGTGTGTGTGTGGCCTAGCATTACTATACTTGTGGGGACCTACATCTGTTTACACAGTCACGTGTGGGGACTCGCCTCCCTTATGGGGACAAATTGGAGGTCACCATAAGGGGAATCATTAATTTTAGGGTGAAGACTTGGTTAGGATTAGGGTTATCGTTAGGTTAAAGGTAAGGGTTAGGGTTAGGCATGTGTTGGTTATGGTTAAGGTTAGGATAAGTCTCCAGGAAATGCATGTAAGTCAATGTAATGTCCCCTGAAGTGATGTATACATGGTGTGTGTGTGTGTAATTATGTATGTGTGTGTGTGTGTGTGTGTGTGTGTGTGTGTGTGTGTGTGTGTGTGTGTGTGTGTGTGTGTGTGTGTGTGTGTGTGTGTGTGGTGGCACAGCTGTTAAATGTAATGTTAAAGAGTGTGTGTAAAGATGTCACTAGAAGCGATAAGTCGATGCCAAAATTCTGAAGCAATGTGACCGGACTGGATTTTCTTAGGAAGTTAAAAACAATTCCTGACGTCTCAAATCTATTTATACTGCTGTGAAACATCTCCTCGAAAAACAACCAGATCTATTCAACTGAATACAAACTGATTATAACTGATTTAAACTATATATAAATAAAAAATAAGGATAAAATAAAAATAAGATTCAAATATTAAAACAAATATTGAATATTTAATAATAATAATAAACAGATAATTCAAAAAATATGAAACATAGAAAATATATGTACATACTGTATACAGCACACAAAATGTATTGAACATCAATGAAGCCCACCCTCACCTGAGGGTCAGGGTCCACGCACGCCCCTCCTGCTAGAATGATAACATAATGCACTGAGAGAAGAAATAAGGAAGGAATCAACACCCATGTAATATTTCTACCGATACGTCAGCATGACCCCACCAGGCCTCTGCAGAGCAAACTCTTTGTCTTTCTGTGACTTCATAGCCACCTGCAGCTTACTGTATGTAAACATAAGGTTAGATAAGATACTTTATTGATCCCAATTTGTACAAAGGTGAGTGTGTTACCTGTGTGGATTCCTCTCTCAGACACGATGGGGGTCCGGAGGCCACGGCCCGGCTTCAGAGCCCAGAAGAGATGCAGGGATTCAGGGATTCAGTCCTTTCAGCTGCGGAGGAGAGACCAGGAAGAGACGTTAGCTCGGAGTGTTAGCGACAGAGAGTTAGCCTCTGAACCTGCCGCTGTACGCTCTGGTTCATTTCAAGCTTCAAACTGCACTAAGCTGTAGGAGCCAAAATGTTGATTTACCATTTGATTATTTAATCGTTTAATTTGCGTAAAATATTGAACATTGGTTACGTAATGGAATAGGTTGTTAATTAATGTCAATGAATTGTTACTGTGCCTCAGCTGGTACAAAAGAGTCTAGCTGAAGATACTCTGAGTTCATTTTGGATGTGAAGCCAAATGTTTTTAACCGCAGCACTGCAGGGAAATTATGAGTTCAAGATGTTTATTTAATTTGCCGTAACTGTCTCCACCATCGTCTGGTTAGACACTTTCATTTGTGTTAAAAAACAAAACAAAACAATCTGTGTGTGTGTGTGTGTGTGTGTGTGTGTGTGTGTGTGTGTGTCTATTTACATTTTTTATTTTTGTATTGTATTACAGATATATGTATTCATGTATTACAGATATATGTATTCATGTATCACAGATATACAGTGGGGCAAAAAAGTATTTAGTCAGCCACCAATTGTGCAAGTTCTCCTACTTAAAAAGATGAGAGAGGCCTGTAATGTTCATCCTAGGTACACCTCAACTATGAGAGACAGAATGGAGGGAAAGAATCCAGGAAATCACATTGTAGGATTTTTAAATAATTTATTTGCAAATGATGGTGGAAAATAAGTATTTGGTCAATAACAAAAGTTCATCTCAATACTTTGTTATAAACCCTTTGTTGGCAATGACAGAGGTCAAAGGTTTCCTGTAAGTCTTCACAAGGTGTTCAAACACTGTTGCTGGTATTCTGGCCCATTCCTCCATGCAGATCTCCTCTAGAGCAGTGATGTTTTGGGGCTGTCGCTGGGCAACACGGACTTTCAACTCCCTCCAAAGATTTTCTATGGGGTTGAGATCTGGAGACTGGCTAGGCCACTCCAGGACCTTGAAATGCTTCTTACGAAGCCACTCCTTCGTTGCCCGGGCGGTGTGTTTGGGATCATTGTCATGCTGAAAGACCCAGCCACGTTTCATCTTCAATGCCCTTGCTGATGGAAGGAGGTTGTCACTCAAAATCTCACGATGCATGGCCCCATTCATTCTTTCCTTTACACGGATCAGTGGTCCTGGTCCCTTTGCAGAAACACAGCCCCAAAGCATGATGTTTCCACCCCCATGTTTCACAGTAGGTGTTCTTTGGATGTGACTCAGCATTCTTTCTCCTCCAAACACGTCTAGTTGAGTTTTTACCAAAAAGTTCTATTTTGGTTTCATCTGACCATATGACATTCTCCCAATCCTCTTCTGGATCATCTAAATGCTCTCTAGCAAACTTCAGACGGGCCTGGACATGTACTGGCTTAAGCAGGGGGACATGTCTGGCACTGCAGGATTTGAGTCCCTGGCGGCTTAGTGTGTTACTGATGGTAGCCTTTGTTACTTTGGTCCCAGCTCTCTGCAGGTCATTGGCTAGGTCCCCCCGTGTGGTTCTGGGATGTTTGCTCACCGTTCTTGTGATCATTTTGACCCCACGGGGTGAGATCTCGCGTGGAGCCCCAGATCGAGGGAGATTATCAGTGGTCTTGAATGTCTTCCATTTTCTAATAATTGCTCCCACAGTTGATTTCTTCACACCAAGCTGCTTACCTATTGCAGATGCAGTCTTCCCAGCCTGGTGCAGGTCTACCATTTTGTTTCTGGTGTCCTTTGACAGCTCTTTGGTCTTGGCCATAGTGGAGTTTGGAGTGTGACTGTTTGAGGTTGTGGACAGGTGTCTTTTATACTGATAACGAGTTCAAACAGGTGCCATTAATACAGTTAACGAGTGGAGGACAGAGGAGGCTCTTAAAGAAGAAGTTACAGGTCTGTGAGAGCCAGAAATCTTGTTTGTTTGTAGGTGACCAAATACTTATTTTACCGAGGAATTTACCAATTAATTCATTAAAAATCCTACAATGTGATTTCCTGGATTCTTTCCCCCATTCTGTCTCTCATAGTTGAAGTGTACCTAGGATGAAAATTACAGGCCTCTCTCATCTTTTTAAGTGGGAGAACTTGCACAATTGGTGGCTGACTAAATACTTTTTTGCCCCACTGTACCTATGTTGTTGGAGGAGCTCAGGTCAGAAGAATGTCATTGCCTTTTCTACACTTTAGCTGCTGAGAATCTGATGATAACACCTTTGAATCTTTGAATCCATATGTAGTTAAATAGTAGAGAACATGAGGTGTTTTCTTTTCAATATAAAACATTGACAGTATAGATTAAATAAAAAATTCAAACAGTTAAACAACAGAGGGGCGTGTCGGGATAACATACGCTTTCCATTTCTCCCAAACGTCCTCAAATGTGAGTTCCCGGAGCCTCAAATGCGGCTTTCACACCAGCGCTTTCCCCTTTCTAGCTCCGAGCGGGAGCTTTTCTGGTTCAGCTCCAGTTTCCCTTTTCTGCTCCCGCTCTGTTCACACCGGCCAGAGCTGCCGCTGCTGCGTCATGACGTCACCGTTTACGTGCCTGCTTCATAAAATCCAAACCGCGGAAATCTCTCACATCGACAACAACAACAATGGCCGATTGTATTGAAGCGCTGTTCACTTTGGTTATCCTCTTACGAAACGACATGGAAGGCATCGGACGACTTTACAAGGGACGACTTTACTTGGAACTTTACAAACATCACATGCGAAATGCAAGACTTCTTTGTGGTCTTCAGCATCTACTTCTCTGCCCCTGCCCCCGCCTCGACGTAAGAGAGACGTAAGCGCCGCCGCCTCTTAGCTCCGAAGCTCTTGCCTCTAGACCGACAATTTTTTGGAGCTGGAAGTGAACCGGATTCCGGAGCTAAGAGGCGGCGCCTCTGCGGTGTGAACAGGAAAAAACGGTACTTTTCAGGCTCCAGCTCCGAGCCGGAGCTGAAAACGCGTTGGTGTGAAAGGGGCAAGAGAGATGGCTATTCTTTCCATTACAAAGGTTTCATAAATGATATCGTACCGATCCTCTATAGATGAGCCGTTTGGGTTCAGACATTTCTTTGTGATTGATTTCCTCGCCGCGTCACTCCACATCCCAAACAAGTATTCAGTTTGAATATGTGTGGATGTTGAGTGCAGAAGCCCAGAAGGACCCTTCTATGATTTACAATAACTAACAATATGATATAAAACCTCTGCAGCGTTTCCTCCCCTTGAATAGCATCGTGTGTGAATTATGTAACCGCAGTGTGTGTGTGTGTGTGTGTGTGTGTGTGTGTGTGTGTGTGTGTGTGTGTGTGTGTTAAAGTCACTCAGATCTGAGTTTCTGTATATTTTCTACATTTGATTGATGCTGAGAAACCTCTGTGGGATACCAAGGTCACCCGGCTGTCATGTGACCTCCTCAAACCACACAGAAACACTCATACATAATTCACCCGGCGCTATTTAAAGGAGCTTTTCACACATTTGAGCCTCTCATTCAGAGTCACTGGGGGCGCTTTATGTTACACTGCATTTATTCTCCTGACAGTCCCTCAACACCCAGAGCCTTCAGCATTTCCGGGCGGATCTCATCCACCCCCGGGGCTTTGCCACTGTGGAGTTGTTTGACGACCTCAGTGACCTCCCCCCGGGAGATTGGTGTTGATCCCCCGTCATACTCCAGCTCTGCCTCTAACATAGAGGGCGGAGTTGTCGGGTTCAGGAGTTCCTCAAAGTGTTCCTTCCAACGCCCTAACACTCCATCAGTTGAGGTCAACAACGTCCCATCCTTACTGTACACAGCTTGAATGGTTCCCTGCTTCCCCCTCCTGAGGTGTCGGACAGTTTTCCAGAACAACTTTGGTGCCGCCCGAAAGTCCTTCTCCATGTCTTCTCCGAACTTCTCCCACACCCGCTGCTTTGCCTCGGCCACGGATGAGGCTGCTGCCCTTCGGGCCTGTCGGTACCTTGCAACTGCCTCGGGAGTCCCCCGGGATAACAAATCCCTGAAGGCCTCCTTCTTCAGTCGGACGGCTTCCCTGACCACCGGTGTCCACCAGGAGGTTCGAGGGTTACCGCCCCTTGAGGCACCTAGGACCTTGAGACCACAGCTCCCCGCCGCGGCTTCGGCAATAGAGGCTTTGTACACCGACCACTCTGGTTCAATGTCCCCAACCTCCACAGGAATGCCCGAAAAGCTCCGCCGGAGGTGTGAGTTGAAGGCCTCCTGAACTTGGGCCTCCTCCAGATGTTCCCAGTTCACCCGAACTACACGTTTGGGCTTACCAGGTCTATCCAGAGGCTTCCCCCGCCACTCGACCCAACTCACCACCAGATGGTGATCAGTTGACAACTCCGCCCCTCTCTTTACCCGAGTGTCCAAAACATACGGCCTCAGGTCCGATGATACGATAACGAAATCGATCATGGACCTTCTGCCTAGGGTGCTCTGGTACCACGTACACTTATGAGCATCCTTATGTTCGAACATGGTGTTTGTTATGGCCAATCCATGACTAGCACAGAAGTCCAGTAACAAACCACCACTCCGGTTTACATCAGGGGGGCCGTTCCTCCCAATCACGCCCCTCCAAGTGTCTCCACCATCGCCCACATGTGCGTTGAAGTCTCCCAGCCAGATTAAAGAGTCCCCTTCAGGAGCCCCATACAGGACTCTTTCCAGGGTCTCCAAGAAGGCCGTATACTCTAAACTGCTGTTTGGAGCATAAACACATACAACAGTCAGAGTTTTCCCCCCCATAACCCGCAGGCGTAGGGAGGCGTCCACTGGGGTAAACTCCAACAACGAAGCACCCAACCGGGGACTTGTGAGTATCCCCACCCCCGCCCGGCACTTACACATTGAGCAAACCCGGAGAAGAATAGAGTCCAACCCCTATCCAGAAGTAAGGTTCCAGAGCCGACGCTGTGCGTAGAGGTGAGCCCAACCAGATCCAACTGGTAACGCTCCACCTCCCGCACAAGCTCCGGCTCCTTCCCCCCCAGAGAGGTGACGTTCCACGTCCCCAAAGCCAGCTTCTGTCGCCCGGGTCTGGTCCGTCGAGACCCTCCGCTTTCACTGCCACCCTTCTGGCAGCGCACCCAACCCCATCGCTGTTTCCCGTAGGTGGTGGGCCCGCGGGACGGAGAAGCGGAGGTGTTGCCCACGTTGCCTTTTCGGGCTCTGCCCGGCCGGGCTCCGTGGCAAGCCCGGCCACCAGACACTCGCCGACGAGTCCTCCTTCTGGGCCTGGCTCCAGAAGGGGACCCCGGGCTTCCTCCGGGCCGGGTATCCTCACTTCTTGTGTCGTCTTTCATGAGGTCTTTTGAACCAATCTTAGTCTGGCCCCTTGCCTGAGACCAATTTGCCATGGGAGACCCTACCAGGAACACAAGGTTCCAGACAACACAGCCCCCAGGTTCATCAGGGCACACAAACCTCTCTACCACGGTAAGGTGCTGGTTCTCCTGAGTCACAGATTTGGGTTAAAGTTAAACACCAGCGATTCCCTCAGAAAGACTGAACTAGCTGTGAGATGAAAACAGTAAATAAGAAGATCCATTTTAGTAGATTTGATCCGTAATGTCCGAGACGGCTAGTGCATCTATCTGCCTGTGCGTGTGTGTGTGTGTGTGTGTGTGTGTGTGTGTGTGTGTGTGTTTATTGGTATTGGCATGTGTCCAGAACACCCTGCTCTGTGCCACCCTCGCCTGATTCATGCTCCACCTTGAGCACCCTGATTAAAACACCCTGAACACACAACAGCAATGATCCCTAAACATGCATATTATTATATATTAAATGAACTAAAAGGCTTATTATCATTCACAGAAACATGCAGTAGTGACGTAGCAGACACACACATGTTGCTTGTTGCGGAAACAGAACAGATAATGTTGTGTATTCATGTTACAATAACTAGTTACATCAAAAAAAGTAATCAGTGACCCAATAGAAACCCAAAATAGAAATGTAATGTAACCTGGCAGTGCGACAGTGAAAGGAGTCCCCTGGGGAGGTATTTAAATGTGCACTCTATAGTTTCAGGGAGAGGGGGATTTGTTGTTGAGTTGTTGTTGTTGTTGTTGTTGTGTTGTTATGTGTTACTCATGAGGGCCCCCACTGATCAGGTGCTTCAGCCCTATCACCTGATGCCTCTCTGTTACTTTTGGATTACCTCAATATCACAACAAGAGAACAAGAGAAAGTAAAACAATAGGATGTTTTTTACTGAAGTGTGTGAAACAACGTAACCTTAGAAAAGTAGAAACCAAGATGTTTCATATTCAAAATGTAGTAACAGTAAAAAGAAAAATCATCCAATAAAATCAAATCTATTTTCATTAATAAATCACTCGTCGCCCATTAATTAAAATAAAGAATAATTAAAGAACTAAACCATTAAATCAGTACCTTTAATACATCCATCTATATTTCTAAATGTATTCTAACATTGTAATCCTGATAGTAATCTCAATTACACGGTAATCTGATTACTTATTTTTGTATGTAATTGTAATTGAATACAGTTACCTTTCTTATGTACCCTGATTATATAATCACATGTAATCTATTACTCCCAAAGCCTTCGTGCATATTATATATATTTAAAGGTTTAATAAAAACATGCAGTAATGACTAGCAGGCAGACACATGGTATTTGTTGTATTTGTACAGGGAGATGTATATTCTATGTATAGTAGGTAGTATTGTACATGCAGTTGCAGGGAATGGCCTGCTGTGTTGATCTCTGCTAGGCCTCAGTGTTGCCATAGAGCTGCCAGCTGACGACATATCCCCCTTTAATGGAGGTAAAGAGCCCCAAATCAACGAATTACCAACAACCTGTCAGTGTTTTCATGGCAGATTCTGCACATCAGGATAATGATCCGGATCACTGAGCCCTGTCAGTATCCGACAGAGGAGCTGCATCATCAGGCATCCATACCCTTATATGTACCTGGGCTAGGATAGTGCAACGTAATGCATGCACTTATCCTGCTCGAATCGCCATTATAGCATCAATAAAACACCCAAAACACCCTGAATTGAGGTGTGCTAAATAATATTTTGCAGATATTATGATGGAAACTGAAACATGGTTGCGGGCTATGATATTATGTAATGCATGATTATAATATTCATTCTCAGTGTTATTGATGGTCCACTGGTCAGATCCCTGATGTATTATGACCTAATTATAAAGGAAAGACAATTAGCCTAACACGACATGGGAGGAGATATCCAAATGCTCGCTAAATTGAATACTGCTCCGGAAAACTTCGTTTTAAGGTGGACTTGGTAATTGTAAAAGTTATATAAACTTAATAAAAAGAGCACATCCTTTATGTGAATGAATACACTCTACTTTACAATTCGGCGTGCATTATATTTCCAAACATGCACTACTTTTTATTAAATGTCGTTTTTTGAGCTGCTTCAGCCCTTATTTCCACTAGCTTCCTCTGACCAAAACACAACGTGGCGCCTGATGACGGATGGTGGGGAAACGGCTAAATATGGGATTTTATATTATTATAATGTTTTATAGTAAACTAAACACACCCCGAATTTAAGAAAAACTTGTATTTGATCATAAACAATAAGTAAAGTCTATTTTTAAAGCACCTATAGTGTTAAATTATTGCAAAATGGTGAAATTGTCACATGTGTTAAGGTAGTTTGGTGAAGCTTTGCTACATACAACACATACGACACTAAATTAGCACCAAGCTATTTAAACCACGATGGTTGCATTTTTAGATGAATGTGCATAAAGTTACCTTTGCGATCAGAAGAGCAGGGGGGGGGGGGGGGGGGGTGTTCAGGCGATGCAGCTATCCGGCGGAGAGAGCCTCTGCCCGGGCACCAGCCTGCTGTCAGAGCCGATAACAGCAGCGGAGGATCCAGGAAGAGGAGGGAGAAGTACTCAGGTAGTAAAGTACAAGTACTCAGATCATGAAGTAAAGTATAAGTAGCCTACTCAGACCGTGTAATAAAAGGAGAAGTACTCAGATCTTGTTTGAGTAAAAGTAGAAGTACTCAGATCTTGTACTTGAGTAAAATTACTTGTACTCAGATCTTGTACTTGAGTAAAAGTAGAAGTACTCAGATATTGTAGTTAAAGTATAACTACTCAGATCTTATACTTGAGTACAAGTATTCAGGTCTTGTACTTGAGTAAAAGTACTTGTACTCAGATCTTGTAGGCCACTTGAGTAAAAGTAGAAGTACTCAGATCTTGTACTTGAGTAAAAGTAGAAGTACTCAGATTGTGTACTTGTGTATGTTTTGCTTACATATTTAACTGTAACATGAAGTGTATACTTAAGATGTTATACATGTAAGACCGGTAAGACACAAGTGTAAATAGTAAGGTTGTGTCCACTGAACAGATTAAAAACACACATCAAAGACGGTTCAACCTTTTTTTTTTATTAGTACTTCATCCTAAAAGACCATCAGACTGGCTGTTTATTAAAGGCACATCAGGTTTGTTCAGGTACAAACAATCCAAAGGTACAGACAAGTCCTGGGTTAAATCCTCACCTTATGCATTCTTCTACTTGGTTTTAAACGCTCATATGTACACACTTATTCAAAAGAAAACACCCGTGGTATTCATGTACTGCACATACACACATGAGGAAGTGATGTGTCCTGTGTTTTCACAGCAATACAACAGATTGTTACTTGGTTGATGAAAGTACCATCATTTCTCAAAGAATCAAATGATTAGAACACAGAGGCTGTGCAATAACAACGCCCGCAGACACTTGAGCTACTTTCACTATAACTGCTCTTCTAAAGTCAGGATAATGTGGTTTACCTGCAGTCACTCCATCAGTAACAACAGAGTTACGCAATACTAGTTTGACTTCATTATTTCAGTGGCTTACAAGAGGACAGGTTGGGCTTTGACCATTAAAGCTAGGGCATCACGAGGGTCCGTATGTTTGTTGTTTTACTGCGTTAATTTATCAAGACAGCAGGTAAACATGTACTTGTTTCTATTAAGGTGATTAAAGTCTCAGCTCTTAAAGAATTACAATAAGTGATTTTCCCCAGACACTTAAAACACAACCAAAAGCAAAACACACCTCACACACACACACATCTTTGATTAAATGTAAACATGGATCCTCTCTGACGGGCGATGTCTACAGGAGTCACACGTGCAGAAACTAAACGATTTGATGGTTTGATATAAGCGAGTGCCGTGAACCCAGGTGAACTAATGGATAAAGCAACGACAAATGAAAGGAAGCCGAACTCAAACATGGAGAGGGTTTGAGTCAAAAAGTATTTCCTAAAATGTCAAATATATATAAATTGCACAAGAGCTCGTCAGTAAAAGCAGTTCCCGACATGCTGCACATGAATAGATATTATTATTTCTGTCCCTTATTTACTGCAGACTGTGTTTAATGACGTGGGAAGGAGATTGTTGTCACTAAGATGTAATTACAGTCATTGCTTTAAGTGCAACGTCCTTAAATGACCTGATGACTTTGCAGTTTATTCCAATAAAGGCTTTTATTTCGTGGTCTTTGCAAAATCATCTCTTAAATTCGTCCGTAGTTTGTAGACCAGCGTCTTGTTTAAACTTCCACCTCCAGCACTGCGAGTTATCACGACGTCTGGATCCCAGATACTGCAAATATTGGTGCTTCCACAAAACAAAATAGATAACCCTTTGCTATGTGGTTAATAACAGAAAGCAGACCCTCAAACCAGGGAAAGACACTTATTCTAAGTCTTTTTTTAAAGTCAGAATTTCTTTTTTGTATCAATTTCTCTATTTTTTTAAGTTAGCTGGCCGGCTCTCTGGTGATTGGTCAACAGCTTAGAGATGTCCCGCCCCTTAGCCTATCACGTACCATGTGTTGGAGAGCTATCGATGTCACTATAGGCTCAGGAACAGCGGATTTGAGCCTCTGCAGACCATTTACATGCACTAACAGCTATAGGACACTGGAGGAAAAGGGACAGCAGAAAGACTCTTCCCTGACATAGTGAGCAGACTAGGCGTTGCGCAGCACGGAGTTCTCCAGGCTGAAGTCGTACTGGAAGCTGCTCAGGTTGTAGCTCAGCTCTGGGTTCAGCAGCAGGTCTGGGATCAGCTGCAGGCTGGACATCACTGTGAGGACGTGAGGAGACAGAGAGAAGGGGACGTCCTCCAGGAGGTCCGGCAGGACGGAGGAAGACTCCCCCACTGAGGAAGAGGAGGAGGGGGGAGGAAGGGGGGCGGGACGCTTTATATCAGAGGCGAGAGAGGGGTACGGACAGGAGGCCTGAGGAGGAAGAGGAGGAGGAAGAGGAGAGAGAGGGGTTTCATTATCACGGGGGAAACGGGGAGAGTCGCTCCATTTTATAATTAAAGAATGATACAAATAAATATATGTATGTTTTTATAAAAGCACAAGTTAGAGTAAAAAGATAAACATTAAATACAAATATTTATACAAACATAAAAAGTATTTGAGGTTAAATAAAATAAAATACAGAAACGAATAATATGTTTAGAAACATGGGAATGTGAAAATGTCTCACTGAGAGAGAGGGTTCAGGGGCAGGAGGAAGAGGAGGAGGACGAAGAGGAGGAAGAGGAGGGGCGGGACGCTTTACCTCAGAGGGGAGAGAGGGGTACGGACAGGAGGCCTGAGGAGGAAGAGGAGGAGGAGGAAGAGGAGGGGCGGGACGCTTTACCTCAGAGGGGAGAGAGGGGTACGGACAAGAAGCCTGAAGAGGAAGAGGAGGAAGATGAGGAGGAGGACGAAGAGGAGGAAAAGAAAGAGGAGGGGCGGGACGCTTTACCTCAGAGGGGAGAGAGGGGTACGGACAGGAGGCCTGAGGAGGAAGAGGAGAGAGAGAAGGATTTCATTATCACGAAGGAACTGTGAAAGTTACTCAATAAAAAGAGAAATATAAAATAAAATGTACAACACATAATATTTGATGGATAGTTTGTTAAATATTGAACACTTAGAAATCTCCACATGAGATGAATATGAACTCTTTATTGAGACCTCACCTTGGGCGGCTGCACGATGACGTACCCTGAAGACGGCTGAGCGACGTTCAGACTCTGAGTCTTCCCCCTCTGCTCCTCCAGCGTCTCTCCTGGAGACCAGAGGACAGCGTTAATCACAAGGGACGACAATCAATATCAGGACTCAGAGAGACACGAGGAGAGATGGAGCTCTGATGGAGTCAGGACTCAGAGACACGAGGAGAGCTGGAGCTTTGATGGAGTCAGGACTCAGAGACACGAGGAGAGCTGGAGCTCTGATGGAGTCAGGACTCAGAGACACGAGGAGAGCTGGAGCTTTGATGGAGTCAGGACTCAGAGACACGAGGAGAGCTGGAGCTCTGATGGAGTCAGGACTCAGAGAGACACGAGGAGAGCTGGAGCTCTGATGGAGTCAGGACTCAGAGACACGAGGAGAGCTGGAGCTTTGATGGAGTCAGGACTCAGAGACACGAGGAGAGCTGGAGCTTTGATGGAGTCAGGACTCAGAGACACGAGGAGAGCTGGAGCTCTGATGGAGTCAGGACTCAGAGAGACACGAGGAGAGCTGGAGCTCTGATGGAGTCAGGACTCAGAGACACGAGGAGAGCTGGAGCTTTGATGGAGTCAGGACTCAGAGACACGAGGAGAGCTGGAGCTCTGATGGAGTCAGGACTCAGAGAGACACGAGGAGAGCTGGAGCTCTGATGGAGTCAGGACTCAGAGAGACACGAGGAGAGATGGAGCTCTGATGGAGTCAGGACTCAGAGAGACACGAGGAGAGCTGGAGCTCTGATGGAGTCAGGACTCAGAGAGACACGAGGAGAGCTGGAGCTCTGATGGAGTCAGGACTCAGAGAGACGAGGAGAGCTGGAGCTTTGATGGAGTCAGGACTCAGAGAGACACGAGGAGAGCTGGAGCTTTGATGGAGTCAGGACTCAGAGAGACACGAGGAGAGCTGGAGCTTTGATGGAGTCAGGACTCAGAGAGACACGAGGAGAGCTGGAGCTTTGATGGAGTCAGGACTCAGAGACACGAGGAGAGCTGGAGCTTTGATGGAGTCAGGACTCAGAGAGACACGAGGAGAGCTGGAGCTTTGATGGAGTCAGGACTCAGAGAGACACGAGGAGAGATGGAGCTCTGATGGAGTCAGGACTCAGAGAGACACGAGGAGAGCTGGAGCTTTGATGGAGTCAGGACTCAGAGAGACACGAGGAGAGCTGGAGCTTTGATGGAGTCAGGACTCAGAGAGACACGAGGAGAGCTGGAGCTCTGATGGAGTCAGGACTCAGAGAGACACGAGGAGAGCTGGAGTTCTGATGGAGTCAGGACTCAGAGAGACACGAGGAGAGCTGGAGCTCTGATGGAGTCAGGACTCAGAGAGACGAGGAGAGCTGGAGCTCTGATGGAGTCAGGACTCAGAGAGACACGAGGAGAGCTGGAGCTCTGATGGAGTCAGGACTCAGAGACACGAGGAGAGCTGGAGCTTTGATGGAGTCAGGACTCAGAGAGACACAAGGAGAGCTGGAGCTCTGATGGAGTCAGGACTCAGAGAGACACGAGGAGAGCTGGAGTTCTGATGGAGTCAGGACTCAGAGAGACACGAGGAGAGCTGGAGCTTTGATGGAGTCAGGACTCAGAGAGACACGAGGAGAGCTGGAGCTATGATGGAGTCAGGACTCAGAGAGACGAGGAGAGCTGGAGCTCTGATGGAGTCAGGACTCAGAGACACGAGGAGAGCTGGAGCTTTGATGGAGTCAGGACTCAGAGAGACACGAGGAGAGCTGGAGCTTTGATGGAGTCAGGACTCAGAGAGACACGAGGAGCGCTGGAGCTCTGATGGAGTCAGGACTCAGAGAGACACGAGGAGAGCTGGAGCTTTGATGGAGTCAGGACTCAGAGACACGAGGAGAGCTGGAGCTCTGATGGAGTCAGGACTCAGAGAGACGAGGAGCGCTGGAGCTCTGATGGAGTCAGGACTCAGAGAGACACGAGGAGAGCTGGAGCTCTGATGGAGTCAGGACTCAGAGAGACGAGGAGAGCTGGAGCTCTGATGGAGTCAGGACTCAGAGAGACACGAGGAGAGCTGGAGCTCTGATGGAGTCAGGACTCAGAGAGACGAGGAGAGCTGGAGCTCTGATGGAGTCAGGACTCAGAGACACGAGGAGAGCTGGAGCTCTGATGGAGTCAGGACTCAGAGAGACACGAGGAGAGCTGGAGCTCTGATGGAGTCAGGACTCAGAGAGACACGAGGAGAGCTGGAGCTTTGATGGAGTCAGGACTCAGAGAGACACGAGGAGAGCTGGAGCTCTGATGGAGTCAGGACTCAGAGAGACACGAGGAGAGCTGGAGCTCTGATGGAGTCAGGACTCAGAGAGACACGAGGAGAGCTGGAGCTCTGATGGAGTCAGGACTCAGAGAGACACGAGGAGAGCTGGAGCTCTGATGGAGTCAGGACTCAGAGAGACACGAGGAGAGCTGGAGCTCTGATGGAGTCAGGACTCAGAGACACGAGGAGAGCTGGAGCTCTGATGGAGTCAGGACTCAGAGACACGAGGAGAGCTGGAGCTCTGATGGAGTCAGGACTCAGAGACACGAGGAGAGCTGGAGCTCTGATGGAGTCAGGACTCAGAGAGACACGAGGAGAGCTTTTTTTTTTTTTTGGAATGCATTTTTTATAAAACACACCTCCAACTAAGAAATTGAAATTCACTCTTGGCTTCCTTTACAGACTTAAATGTTGTTTTTCAACTTCTTCCCGTAAAAGGTTGGTCTCTGGCTTATTGCTGTCCCAGCTGGACTACGGTGATACCATTTATAGATGTGCCTGTCCCTCTGTTTGGGCCACACTTGACCCACTCTACCATAGGGATGCAACGATACCAAAAACTCACGGTACAGTATTTATCGCGATATTGAATAATAAAGGGAAAAATACAAAAAAATTTACTCGGAAAATGTTTCTTTATTAAATAATAAATCTGATTTGTACAGCATGTTAGTAGGATAGCAGTATTTTAAAGTGTCATGGTGTTATGCCGTGTTATGCATGCCCTCCAAAAGGAAGTGATATAGTTTCCAAACCGTACTTTGCCGTACAGATCAACACATGTCTGGGAGGTTTTGCTTTACGCTGTGTGCGCTCCCGCGAGGTGCATGCACCCACGGCATAACAGCGCCCCCCCCCCCCCGTTGACAGTTCACGAGCGTGCTCTCTTGTGAACTGTTCAGACCCGACGGGTAATAAGGGATTATGACGGATATTTACGATCCTGTCTGTCAAAATGACGGACAGCGAAAAAGTCTAACGCCACCTCAGTGGGACGGAGAGACATGCTTTGGCCATGGGTGCCAGCAGTGGGTCAAACTGTGCATTGTCTCTCCACCACTTCAAAAACAATACAGTTGTTGCCAAGAAGGTGAGGCTTATTGACAGAGATATAGATATACTGTTGGTACTTGTCAATGTCTCTAGGTGTGTACATGTAGCTCTGTAAATACCATGTCCTTTTGTTTTATCTGTTGTTTTATGTTCATGTTGTAACCTACTTGCTGCCATGTTGGACAGGTCTCTCTTGAAAAAGAGATCGATGATCTCAACGGGACCATCTGGTTCAATAAAGGTTTAAAACAAAAAAAAGTGTTTTTAAAAATAAAATACATCATTTTTAAATCGCGGTAGATTTTGTCAGTCTCACGACGGTATTGGGACGTTTATTTACCGCGATATTTGGTATATCGTTACATCCCTACTCTACCATGCTGCACTGCGTTACATATACACACCCTATAGGACTCATCATTGCACACTGTAGCCTAACTGGATGGTCCTCACTTAGTGTGCGTAGGATGCAGCATTGGTTGTTATTCATGTATAAAGCCATTTTAGGAAAGCTTCCACTCTACATATGAGCCAGATCTGCTCCAGTTTGTGACTCTCACAGCCTCAGACCCAGAGCCTGGGTACGGGTCCAGGTTCCTGCCGTGCGGACTGAGGCTGGGAAAAGGAGTCTTTTTCATTACGGTCCTTGGTCTTGGAATGACCTTCAATCACGCCTCAAACTGAGGGCACTTGTCTCAATAGCATGTTTTAAATTGAAGTTGTCTGAAGTCCTTCCCACCAGCTGCTCTTGCAGTAATAACTCGTACCTTTCTTACTGTCCTAATGTGCTCAATGTAGGGACTGCTTTTTCCTCTTTTGTTTTCTTAGTTGTGTTCTCTGTGTTGTATAGGTCTGTGTTGTGTGTAGCGTTGCTGCCTTCTTGGCCAGGTCAGCTTTGAAAATGGTTAAATAAAAAGACTGGATTTAAATACAGGTTCCCCCTCTTCAGATGTGCTGTCTACAAACTGATGTACAGACAGGAATATTTAATTCAATATCAGAATAGACAGATGTTCTCACCAACGATGACGAAGCCTCCGTCGGCTTCCTTCTCTGACGGAGATTTCTTCGACTCTTTACGGAGTCCCAAGAAACTCAGCATGATGCTCCTCTGAAACACAACATGGAGGTTAGACTGAAACTCAACATGGAGGTTAGTCTGAAACACAGCATGGAGGTTAGACTGAAACACAACATGGAGGTTAGTCTGAAACACAACATGGAGGTTAGTCTGAAACTCAACATGGAGGTTAGTCTGAAACACAACATGGAGGTTAGTCTGAAACACAACATGGAGGTTAGTCTGAAACACAACATGGAGGTTAGACTGAAACACAACATGGAGGTTAGTCTGAAACGCAACATGGAGGTCAGTCTGAAACACAACATGGAGGTCAGTCTGAAACGCAACATGGAGGTTAGTCTGAAACGCAACATGGAGGTTAGACTGAAACTCAACATGGAGGTTAGTCTGAAACTCAACATGGAGGTTAGTCTGAAACTCAACATGGAGGTTAGTCTGAAACACAACATGGAGGTTAGTCTGAAACTCAACATGGAGGTTAGTCTGAAACTCAACATGGAGGTTAGACTGAAACTCAACATGGAGGTTAGCCTGAAACGCAACATGGAGGTTAGTCTGAAACTCAACATGGAGGTTAGTCTGAAACTCAACATGGAGGTTAGTCTGAAACACAACATGGAGGTTAGTCTGAAACACAACATGGAGGTTAGTCTGAAACTCAACATGGAGGTTAGTCTGAAACTCAACATGGAGGTTAGACTGAAAGTCAACATGGAGGTTAGTCTGAAACACAACATGGAGGTTAGTCTGAAACACAACATGGAGGTTAGTCTGAAACACAACATGGAGGTTAGTCTGAAACTCAACATGGAGGTTAGTCTGAAACTCAACATGGAGGTTAGACTGAAACTCAACATGGAGGTTAGTCTGAAACTCAACATGGAGGTTAGTCTGAAACACAACATGGAGGTTAGTCTGAAACACAACATGGAGGTTAGTCTGAAACTCAACATGGAGGTTAGTCTGAAACACAGCATGGAGGTTAGTCTGAAACTCAACATGGTTCTCCTCTGAAACACAACATGGAGGTTAGTCTGAAACTCAACATGGAGGTTAGTCTGAAACTCAACATGGAGGTTAGTCTGAAACACAACATGGAGGTTAGTCTGAAACTCAACATGGAGGTTAGTCTGAAACACAACATGGAGGTTAGTCTGAAACACAACATGGAGGTTAGTCTGAAACACAACATGGAGGTTAGTCTGAAACACAACATGGAGGTTAGTCTGAAACACAACATGGAGGTTAGTCTGAAACTCAACATGGAGGTTAGTCTGAAAACACACATGGAGGTTAGTCTGAAACACAACATGGAGGTTAGTCTGAAACTCAACATGGAGGTTAGTCTGAAACACAACATGGAGGTTAGTCTGAAACACAGCATGGAGGTTAGTCTGAAACTCAACATGGTTCTCCTCTGAAACACAACATGGAGGTTAGTCTGAAACTCAACATGGAGGTTAGTCTGAAACTCAACATGGAGGTCAGTCTGAAACTCAACATGGAGGTTAGTCTGAAACACAACATGGAGGTTAGTCTGAAACACAACATGGAGGTTAGTCTGAAACTCAACATGGAGGTTAGTCTGAAACACAACATGGAGGTTAGTCTGAAACTCAACATGGAGGTCAGTCTGAAACTCAACATGGAGGTTAGTCTGAAACACAACATGGAGGTTAGTCTGAAACACAACATGGAGGTTAGTCTGAAACACAGCATGGAGGTTAGTCTGAAACACAACATGGAGGTTAGTCTGAAACTCAACATGGAGGTTAGTCTGAAACACAACATGGAGGTTAGTCTGAAACACAACATGGAGGTTAGTCTGAAACTCAACATGGAGGTTAGTCTGAAACTCAACATGGTTCTCCTCTGAAACTCAACATGGAGGTTAGTCTGAAACTCAACATGGAGGTTAGTCTGAAACACAACATGGAGGTTAGTCTGAAACACAGCATGGAGGTTAGTCTGAAACACAGCATGGAGGTTAGTCTGAACTCAACATGGAGGTTAGTCTGAAACTCAACATGGAGGTTAGTCTGAAACACAACATGGAGGTTAGTCTGAAACACAACATGGAGGTTAGTCTGAAACTCAACATGGAGGTTAGTCTGAAACTCAACATGGAGGTTAGTCTGAAACTCAACATGGAGGTTAGTCTGAAACTCAACATGGAGGTTAGTCTGAAACTCAACATGGAGGTTAGTCTGAAACACAGCATGGAGGTTAGTCTGAAACTCAACATGGAGGTTAGTCTGAAACTCAACATGGAGGTTAGTCTGAAACACAACATGGAGGTTAGTCTGAAACTCAACATGGAGGTTAGTCTGAAATCTGCAACCATGGAGGTTAGTCTGAAACTCAACATGGAGGTTAGTCTGAAACTCAACATGGAGGTTAGTCTGAAACTCAACATGGAGGTTAGTCTGAAACACAGCATGGAGGTTAGTCTGAAACTCAACATGGAGGTTAGTCTGAAACACAGCATGGAGGTTAGTCTGAAACTCAACATGGAGGTTAGTCTGAAACTCAACATGGTTCTCCTCTGAAACTCAACATGGAGGTTAGTCTGAAACTCAACATGGAGGTTAGTCTGAAACTCAACATGGAGGTTAGTCTGAAACACAACATGGAGGTTAGTCTGAAACACAGCATGGAGGTTAGTCTGAAACACAGCATGGAGGTTAGTCTGAAACTCAACATGGAGGTTAGTCTGAACACTCACATGGAGGTTAGTCCCTGAAACACAAACATGGAGGGTTAGTCTGAAACACAACATGGAGGTTAGTCTGAAACTCAACATGGAGGTTAGTCTGAAACTCAACATGGAGGTTAGTCTGAACTCAACATGGAGGTTAGTCTGAAAAACTCAACATGGAGGTTAGTCTGAAAACTCAACATGGCAGGTTAGTCGAAACTCAACATGGAGGTTAGTCTGAAAACTCAACATGGAGGTTAGTCTGAAACACAACATGGAGGTTAGTATGAAACTCAACATGGAGGTTAGTCTTGAACACTTCAAGCATGGAGGTTATCTGAAACTCAACATGGAGGTTAGTCTGAAACACAACATGGAGGTTAGTCTGAAACTCAACATGGAGGTTAGTCTGAAACTCAACATGGAGGTTAGTCTGAAACTCAACATGGTTCTCCTCTGAAACTCAACATGGAGGTTAGTCTGAAACTCAACATGGAGGTTAGTCTGAAACTCAACATGGAGGTTAGTCTGAAACACAACATGGAGGTTAGTCTGAAACTCAACATGGAGGTTAGTCTGAAACACAACATGGAGGTTAGTCTGAAACACAGCATGGAGGTTAGACTGAAACTCAACATGGAGGTTAGTCTGAAACTCAACATGGAGGTTAGTCTGAAACACAACATGGAGGTTAGTCTGAAACTCAACATGGAGGTTAGTCTGAAACTCAACATGGAGGTTAGTCTGAAACACAACATGGAGGTTAGCCTGAAACACAACATGGAGGTTAGTCTGAAACTCAACATGGAGGTTAGTCTGAAACTCAACATGGAGGTTAGTCTGAAACACAGCATGGAGGTTAGTCTGAAACTCAACATGGAGGTTAGACTGAAACACAGCATGGAGGTTAGTCTGAAACTCAACATGGAGGTTAGTCTGAAACACAGCATGGAGGTTAGTCTGAAACTCAACATGGAGGTTAGTCTGAAACACAGCATGGAGGTTAGTCTGAAACTCAACATGGAGGTTAGTCTGAAACACAGCATGGAGGTTAGTCTGAAACACAGCATGGAGGTTAGTCTGAAACACAGCATGGAGGTCAGTGTGAAACGTATTCATCAGGTTCAGGTCTGAAGACAGAAAGGCTCTTCTTCAGGAGATATGATTGATTTCATAAATCAAAGTAGAAGTACTCAGATCTTGTGAGTAAAAGTAGAAGTACTCAGATCTTGTGCTTGAGTAAAAGTAGAAGTACTCAGATCTTGTACTTAGTAAAAGTAGAAGTACTCAGGTCTTGTACTTGAGTAAAAGTAGAAGTACTCAGATCTTGTACTTTAGTTAAAGTAGAAGTACTCAGATCTTGTTCTTGAGTAATAGTAGAAGTACTCAGGTCTTGTACTTGAGTAAAAGTAGAAGTACTCAGATCTTGTACTTGAGTAAAAGTAGAAGTACTCAGATCTTGTACTTTAGTTAAAGTAGAAGTACTCAGATCTTGTTCTTGAGTAATAGTAGAAGTACTCAGGTCTTGTACTTGAGTAAAACTAGAAGTACTCAGATCTTGTACTTGAGTAAAAGTAGAAGTACTCAGATCTTGTTCTTGAGTAAAAGTAGAAGTACTCAGATCTTGTTCTTGAGTCAAAGTAGAAGTACTCAGATCTTGTACTTGAGTCAAAGTAGAAGTACCAGAGTGTAGGAATACTCTGTTACAGTAAAAGTCCTGCATTCAAAATGTCCCTCAAGTGAAAGTAGGAAAGTATTCTCATCAAAATATAGTGAAGGACAGTAAAAGTATTCGTTGTGCAGATTGGTCCATTTCAGAATAATATATATGATATGTTTTATAATGATTGATCATGAAAGTGTTCTCAAAGCTGGTGAAGGTGCAGCTAGTTTGAAGTACTTTGTATACTGCAGGGTAGCTGGTGGATTTACTCCAGGTGGAACTAAAGTCTGATTCAACACTTGATTAGATTTCACATCATTCATCCACATCTGAGAAGTAACTAAAGGTATAAATACATGTAGTGGAGGAAAAGTACACAGTAGCAGACAATGGAAATACTCAAGTAAAGTACAAGTACCTCTAAATTGTACTGAAGTATTTGAGCAAATCTTTCTAGTTATCGAAACTAGTTTTAACAACAAAGTCAAATGAATTCCTCTTAAAGTCAAAACGTCTTACTTTCAGTTCTTCTCTCTAACTTCAGGATCTCATGTTTCTGTTTCTTTGAGTCCACGAAGTTCAGAAGAGTTATTTTAGCCAAAATAAAACCTGATATATTTTCCGTTGTTTCTTTTTACAGGGAAGTTGTTGTTATGACACCGACGTGCCTGACCTTCCGTGTTCGTGTAGAAACAACAACGCCACACACAGTTCCGCTTACAACCCCAGCTTTATGTTACAAGAAGCGCAACTTTATTATTATTATTATTTATAAACTGTATTAACCAAGAGTCATTTACAAACCTTTAATGCCCTTTATTTCAGTCAGTTCTAATGGTGCAAATCAGTATGATAAAACAAATTAAATAACCCTATTAATGCTGTGTCCTTGTGATAAACGTGGCTTTATTGCTTGTGTTTAATTGGATGTGTTATCTGATTTGTTTACCTTTGTTAAGAGTCTTTGAACACATGATAAATAAAATGTATTAATGTTATTATTATCACAATAATACAGCGGAACTAATGATTGGTGATCCCGGGGAACAACATGTAAGAGCACAGCGGATATGTCGTCAAAAGACGATCGATTTTAACTCCAGCGTTTCCCGTCATTACAAGCAAACCGTTTTCGAACGTACATATTTAAACCCCGCCCGGGTAGAATAACACGTGACAACAAACCGAACGTACGTCACATTTCCCGCGCAGTATTGTCTCGTCTTGGCTCCTTCAGTGAACAGCTTCAAAATGGCAGGAATATATGACGTCCCGAAACCCAGAATAATCTGCTCTATGTTGTCGCAGAACATCAACAAACCCGTCTGCTTCGTCGGTCGTGTGGAAAAGGTCAGTATGAGTTTATAAAAGTGGAGTTAAAAGGTTGTTTTAACGGTTAAAACATGGATTAACGTGTTGGTTTTCCCGCCATGTTAGGTCCACCCGTCGGGGAAGACGTTCACAGTCTGTGATGGAGAAGGGAAAACGGCCACTGTGGAGCTGAATGATCCTGTGAGTACTCCTATTATTACTTTACTTTAACTAGTGTCACTATCAGGTGTTACATAGTATATTTACAGGCCTTTCTACATCATTAGGAGCTACTCTTTAGCCCATAAAAAACACCAGTGTATTCTTATATTGTGAAAGCTGTAATTTACCTAAAACTACATCCTATGTTTTCATATCTAGCATATTGATGTCATGTCTTGATCTTTTGGACGTTTTAACAACATTTAATCGTTAAAACCTCTTACAATAAAGTGTTTTTTTAGAAGTTAGTGTCGTGTCTCTGTCAGAACAGTATGACCATTGATAACACTGAACAACACATGTGTACAGAAGCGATCTAATGATTTTATTTGGCTAGAAGTTCCTGTTATTTGACATTATTTAAGATGCAATGGATATCCTCCTATTTTATATTGATAATATTAATAAAGATTTATTTGTATTGCACTTTGTATACAATAGGTGCAAAGTGCAACACAAATGAGGAATTCAAATATATGTATATGTGTTTGGAAAAGATAGGAGGAAAATAATAGTACAAATAATTCAGATTTAAAAATAAGTCTGAATGTTTAATTTAGACTTTTTCTCAGATTTCCGAATTAATATTTTGAGAAAAAGTCTAAATTAATTTGACTTTTTTTCGGATCCTTTTCGTTTAAAATTTGAATTTTCTCCATAAATACAAAATTGTTCAGAGAAAATCTCAGATTTCTCAGATTTGTAAACAAAAAAAATGATCAATGTTTTCAGAAAGGAACTTCCTTCAGAATTATGAGAACTTTTTTTTTTATTCGCTGTCAAAGTTTTTTTAAATTAAACTGAGAAAAAATTTGAAAAATAAAATCTGAGTTAAGATATTCAGGTTAAAACCTTTTTGCGAGACTTCCGGTCCGACACAGAGATGGAAGCATAGAGCAACACGCTCCCGACCCAAAATATCTAAAAACACTGTCCGAACAACGCAATCCAACTCTCTGAGAGCATTTAAATCAACGGGGAAATATCGGACTAACGAAAAATGTCCAGAAAGGGAAAGAAAATCAATACCCAAAGTAAAAAGCACGACGAGGAAGAAATCGATCAGCTGTCTCAAGCAAGCAACAGCATGGATGATGACAAGCAGCCAGATGACGCAGATCACAGCGGGGAGGCTAATATGAGTTTAATTCTAAAAGAGCTGCGAGACTTTAGAAAAGACTCCTGCCAACAACTCAATGGAATAAAGGAAGACATCAATCAAATTAACAAAAGAATGGAGGAAGCAGAGGAACGAATTGACGCAGCGGAGACCAGGATCCAGTCATGGGAAGAGGTGGTGACAGGCCTAGTGAAGCTACAGGTACAGACCGAGGCTAAACTGACGGACCTGGAGGGACGAACACGGCGCGAGAACATAAGGATCTACGGAGTAGAGGAAGGTGCAGAAGCCATGTCGACATCTGTGATCGCTTTTGTGGAAGAGCTACTAGTTAAAGGCCTGGAACTGACCCCCTCTACGCTACAGATCGAGAGGGCGCACCGTGCGCTCGGCCCCAAACCTCCGGCAGAGGCCTCACCGAGATCACTGGTGGTGAAATTCTCAAATTTTAAAATGAAAGAAGACGTAATCAAAAAAGCCTGGCAGAAAAAGGGTTTTTATTTCAAAGAAAAAAAGGTCAACGTGGACCACGATTACGCACCTGAATTGCAGAGAAGGAGAAGGCAGTATGCGGAAGCCAAATCGGCACTTAAGGAAAGAAACATAAGATTCCAGAGCCCATTCCCGGCCAGATTAAAGTGTTCTATGAGGACAATCCAGTGGTCTACAACTCGGCTGAGGAGGCAACAGCAGACATGGTGAAGAGAGGGATACCAGTGACTGTCCTGCAGAACCCAAGCTCGTTAATGGACCAGATTAACCGGCTGACCTGGGAACCCAGCAGAAAGCGAGGAGATCAACTGCACCCGAGCTCCAAGTTACACTTCAAGGAACGGCTTCGAAGCTTTCGACATCGGGATACCTGATAAGTAGCACTGAGACTATTTTCTTTTTTCTTCCTTCCTCCTTGCCTTTACTATTATTATTTTCCTCTCTACCCAAAGGTTGAGATCAAACTGAATAGAACGCTTATACCACGGGCACATGTGGGCACATTTTGGGTCGGTTTGCTACCCTCTGTATTTTATGGACCTATGTATCAGCTTAAGGGCTGAAGAGGGCCCCCTTCCATCACTAAGAGGAAGAGACTTTCCCTCCACATTCCAACACTCCAAGGCACAATATGTGGCCTTAAATCTGGAAGTCAATGTCATTTATGTTTGTGGATATTATTCTGTTACATTTTTTTTGGTTATAGTTTTGTATTTTATTAATGTTATATATACAACAGGGGATGTTGGAAATGATTTAAATGTAGGAACTCATGGATTTAAAATAAAGGCAAATAATCAGCATGCAGAGTAAAGGGTCAATTAAAGTAATTACATACAATGTGAACGGTCTGGGAAACCCAATTAAAAGGAATAAAGTCATGTCAAAATTAAAAAGAGATGGAGTTGAAATAGCCCTCCTTCAGGAGACTCATCTAACAGAACAGGAACACCAAAAACTTAAAAAGTGGAACTTCAGTTCATATTCATCCTCATACAGAAAGGGATCCAGGAGGGGCGTAACAATCTTAATCTCCAGTAAATTAAACTTTGAATGCACATGTGAAAAAAAGGACAAAGATGGGAGATATGTACTGATTCGGGGAAATTTGGAGGGTACTTTAGTTACCCTCCTGAATGTATATGCCCCCCCGGGATCTGAATGGTCATTTTACAAACACATTTTTGAAATAATAACATTGGAGGCCCAAGGAATTCTAATTTGTGGGGGAGATTTCAATGTTAGACTTAACCCAACTTTAGATACATCAAAACCCCTTCCCTCAGGAGGGAAAAAAATCACCAAGAACATTACATTGATCTTGGGAGACCTAGGGCTCTCAGATATATGGCGAGACCTAAATCCGTCTACGAAAGATTTTACCTTTTACTCACACCCACACTCAGTATATTCAAGGCTCGATTATCTGTTTATGTATCAGAAAGATTTTTACAGGGTCCAAAATTGCAGTATAGGGACCATGGACTTATCAGACCATGCCCCGGTCTCCATGGCACTAAATCTAGGACTAGAAAGGAAAAGCACAATCTGGAGATTGAACACAGGAATTCTTAACCAAATTAGGCCTCAAATCAGGACCGATATAAAAGATTATCTGAACGACAATGACAATGGAGAAGTGTCCCCAATAATCTTGTGGGATGCATGCAAAGCTGTCCTAAGAGGAAAAATAATTGGCTATTCCTCAAACATAAATAAGCAAAGAAAAGAGAAAACAAATCTGCTTCAAACAGAACTAAAACATCTAGAAAATATACATAAGAAAACCCTAAATACAAAAACTAAAATGGAAATAGATAAAAAAAAGAACGAACTCCATGAAATCCTCTCTAACGACATAAAAAATAAAATGATCTTTCTAAAACAAAGTTACTATGAGGTAGGAGGTAAATCAGCAAAACTATTGGCTTACAAACTAAAAAAAACAACAGGTAGAAAACACAATTTACAAAATAAAAGACCCTGAAACAAGTATTATACATAGTAATCTAAAAGACATACAACAAACGTTTGTCTGTTTCTATAAAAACCTATACACACAGCCTAAAATAGATAAAACCAACATCAGGAGTTTCCTTGACTTGATCACTTTCCCTAAAGTGAGGGATGAGCAAAATCACAATTTAATTAGAGAAATTACGGGAAAAGAAATAGAAAAGGCAATCGCTGATTTAAAACCCAATAAAGCCCCAGGCCCAGACGGTTTCCCTTCTGAATGGTACAGGGAAATGATGGATCTACTGATCCCAACAATGAGGGATGCTTTTAACCACGTGCTTCAGACAGGTATAGCTCCCCCCTCATGGGGCGAAGCAGTAATCTCCCTGATACCAAAGGAAGGGAAAGACAAATGTGACTGTGGAAGTTATCGTCCAATAAGTGTGCTAAATCAAGACTATAAGATCTTTACCCACATTTTGGCAAAAAGACTCGAAGAAATCCTCCCTCGGATAATAAATCTAGATCAGACAGGATTTATCAAACAACGGCAAACTCAAGATAATATCCGCAGAAC